TGGTCAGTCTTGGATAACTGTTTATAGGTGAGCCCATCTATAAACCCATTGGTCTTCCAACGTTTGAAAAGATCTTTTAAATCGCTAGAAATCTTCTTAATCGGATTTTTTTGAATGACAATATAAGTGTTCGTGTCTAGTAATTGTTCTTCCATTTTTTTAATGTATTCTAATCTGTCCAAAAGAACCGTGACATTACCTTTGTCCGCATTCGTAATGAACAATTCTGGATGTTGGTGGACAAATCTTTTGGTCAATTTGAGGTATTTGAGAATATTTTTATCATAGCTATTCAAAGGTAGATTGTTTTGACCGAGTTTACTGACAGCGCTTACTGCTTTATTTCTAATATTGTTCGCTATGGCCACACTATAACCCGTGATATTTTTTTCAATATGTTTGACAAACTCTATTATGGTTTTTTCTTTATTGTTTTCAGTAACAGGAAGTTCGAATCTATCGCCCAACTGTAACAACACTTTAACCTCGTTTGAAATAGTTACATCCGACAAGTTAATGAGCCATTGTTCATGAATTCTATCAAAAGAAAATTCAGTGTTAAAGTTGTTCGGTGACACCTATATGTTAATCCCTAAATGATCCTGATCGCGTGCAAACGAATGTTTGTTGTCCGAGATCGTGCAATTATACTGAATTGGTTGAATGTTCTTTATGATGTTTCTATTATGTTTGTTCTGTAGCCATCTAATTTTTTTATTGATACGTTTTGAGTCCGAGTTCCATTTGTGGTGTTTAAATTTATCTTGATGATAGAAAAAGGAAGAGTGGATGGGGAAAGGCAGTCTGCACGTTATCATCTTATGTGTTTCGAACATTTTTGTTCTGATGTGATCTAGTTCATTATAAGAATCCTTAATCTCTATACGTATAACAGCTCTAACATGTTTAATATTACAATTGTTTAAACGCTTGCTGGAGTTGTAATTATGTAAAACAATACGATTATAATTATTAGTAAAATTGAGATGTGAAGGTATCAGATCGGAATTAAGGCATGCTTTTAAAAAAATAATTCTGATTCTCAAAGAAATTTCAATTTTGATTAACTTGATGAAGAACTTAAGTAATGCGCATCAAAACGTATCAATAAAAAAATTAGATGGCTACAGAACAAACATAATAGAAACATCATAAAGAACATTCAACCAATTCAGTATAATTGCACGATCTCGGACAACAAACATTCGTTTGCACGCGATCTGGATCATTTAGGGATTAACATACAGGTGTCACCGAACAACTTTAACACTGAATTTTCTTTTGGTAGAATTCATGAACAATGGCTCATTAACTTGTCGGATGTAACTATTCCAAACGACGTTAAAGTGTTGTTACAGTTGGATGATAGATTCGGACTTCCTGTTACTGAAAACAATAAAGAAAAAACCATAATAGAGTTTGTCAAACATATTGAAAAAAATATCACGGGTTTTAGTGTAGCCATAGCGAACAATATTAGAAAGCAGTAAGCGCTGTCAGTAAACTCGGTCAAAACAATCTACCTCTGAATAGCTATGATAAAAATATTCTCAAGTACCTCAAATTGACCAAAAGGTTTGTCCACCAACATCCAGAATTGCTCATTACGAATGCGGACAAAGGTAATGTCACGGTTCTTTTGAACAGATTAGAATACATTAATAAAATGGAAGAACAATTACTAGACACGAACACTTATATTGTCATTCAAAAAAATCCGATTAAGAAGATTTCTAGCGATTTAAAAGATCTGTTAAAACGTTGGAAGACCAATGGGTTTATAGATGGGCTCACCTATAAACAGTTATCCAAGACTGACCCGAATGCACCAAGAGCTTATGGTGCACCAAAAATACACAAACCTGGTGCACCTGTACGCATTATTGTTTCCACAATTGGTAGCCCATTATATAGTCTAGCACTTTATTTGCACAATATAATTAAGAACGGCATTCCTGAGGCTAGCAGCTTTGTAAAAAATAGCTACCATCTTGTTAAGCAACTGGAGGGTTTGATGATTTTGATCAGAGTTTGCAATTAATGTCTCTCGATGTCGTCTCACTTTATACTAACGTACCGATCGATAATGCTATAGAGAGTATTAGATTGAGATGGCCTTACATATCGAAGTACACAAAAATCACAGAAGAAGAGTTTATCATTGCGATTAGATTTGTACTGGATTCCACCTTTTTTGCATTTAACGGGGTCACTTATAAACAAGTATTTGGTACTCCCATGGGATCCCCTTTGTCACCAATAATAGCTAATATTGTCATGGAGGATCTAGAAAAATTGGCGTTGGAGAAACTCTCTTTTAACATTCCAATTTACATAAGATACGTGGATGATATCTTGCTGGCCACTAAACCGGAACATATTGACACCATAGTTGAATGTTTCAATTCCTTACACCACAGGTTGAAATTCACTAAAGAAATGAGTACAGATAACTCCATTAACTTTTTGGATGTGAGAATAATAGTGGAGAATAACAAAATAATATTCGATAACTACTGTAAACCTACGTGCTCTGGCAGATTTCTCAATTATTATTCACAACATCCACATTGTCATAAAAATGGTGTTATTATTGGTTTGGTTGACAGAGTGTTCTTGTTGTCTCATCCGCAATTTCATGAAAAGAATCTCACGAAAGTGATTAACAGCTTGCTCGACAATGGTTATCCACTAACACTTATTTTCAACACTATCAACAAAAGAATTAAATATCATTCTTTAAACATTAACAAAAAATCATCGCGCGTCACATCCGACAAATTTTTCACAATTCCATACGTTAGATCTATATCGGAATCATTTATGCCCTTAGCGTCAGGAGTATATAAAAAAATCGCCTATACCATTCCTAACACTCTGAGCAGATTCATCGGCAAGGGTAAGGATAAATTGGATCACATGTCACAACAGGAGGTGGTTTATAAGATAACTTGCCACGATTGTGATGCAAGCTGCGTAGGCCAAACTAAAAGAAAATTGGAAACCAGAGTGCGAGAACATCGTTCTGATATCAACAAAAAATCTGGTTCTCCTTCAGTTATTTCGGATCACCGTATTTCTCTCGGTCATGATTTTGACTGGAATAAGACGAAAATCTTGGATGTGGAACCCTCGTATTATAAGAGAATTACATCGGAAATGTTGCATATAAAACGTCAGAATAATGGATTAAACTTACAAAAAGATACTCAGTCGTTTCCTGAATCATACCTGCCTCTATTGGATCTCTTGCCTACCCCTTAACTTCTTTACTCCTTCTCTGTGCATACGTCACATCCCCTCCTGCTCAGCTCAGTTCTCATTGCGATCGTGATCGGTCTCACTTATCACCTCTTCACTTTTAAGATAACAGTCATACGTACAACAGCTATACGATTACGCTCTAATGGAATTCGCTCTGATTAGGTGATTAATAATTTTTCTTGTTTTTATTTGTGAAAAGTGTTTGAATTTGTGAATTTTGTATTTCAATTCGTAAGATTTGCGCTCTAGCCGATGGACCATGTAAATTTCAAAGGGTAACATAGAACATGACTTATTGTAACACGACATAATGAGAGAAACTAAGAAGTTACCCGTTTATCTGATTGCGCAACACAAGGCACTACACACGCTACACCTCCAAGTTATTGGTCACCATCACAACGTATGATTTGAAGATCATCTAAATTTAATATATATATTGGTATGTTTGTAATAATACTTAAAGGAAATTTTTTATATCATAACGATCTATTGAGAAAAACCTCGTGATAGGTTGAAACGTCTAGACTTTAATTTTTAATGATTCGAAATACACAAGTGAAGTTGGTAGCAATTTTTGGACCTAATAATTGGCATATGTTGATGGTATCAATTTTTTGTCCGTTTAATATCTTTAGTACTATTAGTGTAACACTCCGCTAAAGTTTTTTTATATATAGAATCTGTCTATCAGAACGAATAGAACCGAGATAACAACGATGAAATTTGAAACTTGTGTGCGTACTTATCACCTTGTCGTTGAGATGTAATAGCACTTGCAAGATCAAAGCTAATGTATATATCCGTCGATAACGAAAGCGTTTACATAACAATGTCTCGACACAATTGTACCCCACACATATTCATGGATATTTCCATTGTTATCAAATATAGTTATTGTTTCTTCATATATATTTATCCTTGGTCTGTATAATTTTTATTGGCTCATTGCTCCTTAACTAATTACATTTATATTTTATTATATGAGCTGCTAATAATATTTTTATTTTTAAATACGATTTGTTTAGAAAACTTATATTGGTACTACTTTCTGAGCATTACATATTGCATAATTACTATAATTGAACATGTCCATGAGTGTAAAAAATGATTTTACCTGCTACAGTAGAACAAAACTGCTAAAATGTGTTTACATGCATTCCCTAAGCCAGCTTTACAAGAACATTCCATTGAAATACAATAATTTTTCCTTCTTTGTTTATTTTTCCTTTTATTTCATATGGAGAGCACCTTTTAAATCCGAAGTTTGGAGACAAAACGCAGTAATCCAAAAACGTCACTATTGTCATCTGGCATTTTTCCACAAAAAACAACGTGCATTTATTAATTTTTCACCACCAATAAAATTTTTACTAGTAGGTGTCGAACGAACTAGTAAAACACAAATTTCTCCTATAGATATTTTCATTTTTATTTATTTACTATAGCTTGTATTTACGTGTAATAACCGTATAGTATAAGAACCTGTTGGTTAGGTTACCTACTCGCAGTAGTTTCGACTGTTGGCGCTAGGTGACGGGATGTGAAAGCTCCGCCCCCATCGAATTTCCCAATATGAAACTTTCAGTTCCTCGTTCTTTCTTTCGATCCCCT